CGCAGAACTCGGTTCTGGCTCTTCCGATTCCGCCTCCAGCGAAGAACGGGCTCCAAATCTTCCGGAAAGGAAATTTGGAGCGCGGGCAGGCGCGAGAAACGCCCAACGAATTCGCTCGGAGCCCGCTCGGGACGAGACCGAGAGGCCTCACCTGCCTTCTGCTCCCTCGATGGCCGACGGCCCCGAAACCCCCCGCGCAGGGAGGGAGACGGAAACGCCCCGGCTCGGGGAGGCACCGGGATTCAGGGTACGAGCAAAACTCACGGGGCGTTCCGGGCGGTATTTGTTGTTACAGCAGCTATCAAAGGTCAGCCCTCGCCGCGTCACGCCCCGACGAGTTCGCTCCCAACCAGGAAAAGGTGACATATCTGGTGACATCGCCGCGTCGCCCCTCCCTGGGCAAACAGCCTAAAATAGGCCCAGCGAGAAGGGAAGCGACCGGGGCCGCCCGGTGACGTGTCGAGATGAACCCGCTCGGGCTTTCGCTCCGCCCGACGAAATTTCCCTCGTAGCCGTTTCGGGGGAGAGCGTGCCGGCGCAGGGGCGCCGTCAACGTGCCGGCGCCGTTCCGCAGCCGGTTTCCCCTCCCGATAAGCCGGCCGGTGATTTCACCTCGCCGCCGGCCCGAACGATTTTTAACGTTATCGAAGCGACCGAATAAAACGGCGCCGGGAAGAAAAGAATTGCGCACGGTGACTCGGGGTCGGCACCGTGACGCGAGCGCCGGCTACGAGGCGGCAGCGTCTGTGGTACGAAACAGGGGAGCGAGCGGGTAAAGCGAGACGCGGGAGCGTTAAAGCGATTAATCCGAGGGCCTGGGGGGGGCATAATTAAATACTCCCCGGGAAGGAGAGGAAAAAAAACAACCGAACAAGAAAGCAAACCAAACCCAGGCGGGTGGGACTCGCTCCTGCCAACCGACGCGGCCGCCCGGACCCGACTTCAGCGCGGACAAAAGGCGTTTTAGCGTTGCCGAGGAAGGGGGCTGCGTATTTCACGTCGGCGAGGAATAACCGGCGTCGGGGCTGCGGGTGGATTTCGGGGAAGGATAATTACGGCATGTTCCTTCGCCCAAAGGGAAGCGGCAGCGGGGGGTTTAACCCGAGGGGGCCGAACAAAACCCCGCGCT